CCTAGCCCTTGACAGTCACCACAGAGATGAAGGCACGAGTAGAGAGAAACTACCTACCTCATTTTAAATTACGTTTGGACTTGACAAAAATTGTGCAAATGATGGGGGAAGGTAGGAAAAAATGCATTTTGAAAAGTTTAGTCTTTCTTCCCTCTCCCTTTAAAAGGAGAGGGAAGAAAGACACAGTTTCCCCCAGCTTTATAATAATGTGGTCACTGCTAGTAATTGCTGGCCCTAGGATCCCCTGCCTGTTTTCTGGCCAGGGGTGTTGGGACCAGCCTCCAGCCCCTGAAGAATGAGAGTGGTGTGGGCAGAGGGCAGGAGTGGCCCGGGCAGCACAGCTGTATGAGCCCCATGCATGGATGGAGCATGGGGAGTAGCCCCCCTTCTCTGTCCTTTGTGACAAGAGACTTGACACAAATGTCTCTTGCCCCTGGCTACCTTCCTTCTCAAATTCAGAGATGTTCCAGCCCATCCCTTTTAACTGTTTTCTATGCCAAGAGGATATCCCTGTTTCTCCCTGTTTGAGCATCTTGGCTACTTGTGTGAACCTCAGATTTGGGGAGAAGCATGGAATTCAGTGAATCTTCAGAGGGACTGGCCTGCAAGGGAGATGATCCAGGCCTACCTTCACCACCTGCAATTGCTCTGTCTGCTCAAGTACCTGTTGTCAGTCACAGCAGCCAGAGGACTTCAGGTGGTTTTCTGATGCAACTGGCCCAGTGAGTTGATTCTCACCCATGGGTGTCACACTGCCTGGAGGTGAGCTGCAGAGTTTGGAAAGGAATTTATGATCAAGTGAAAACTAATGCTGTTCATCCTTAATACCACTATTGGTTACTTTAATTCATACATTGTCTGTATGAATAAGGATGGATAAATTAGAGCTATACCCATATTCATTATGTTAAGAAATTTAAAAATAATTATGAAACGCTTTACTAATCATGATTTGTTTTTACTTGTATTTTTCTGCTTATTAGACTAATATATGCTCATTAAAAAAAGATGCGTGTGTGTGTGTATATATTAAAAAAACATACAAGTGCTCTATGTCCCTACCTCTCTGGGATCATCATTGCTGACAGTTTGGTGAACTGTTTGCCTTCTGTTTGCATATATCAACCTACTTTCCTTTTACAAAAATGTGAACATTTGTTCTTGTGTAGCCTGCCTTTTCACTTACCAGTGTATCTCTCAAATGTGATGTGGATGTACCTCACTCTCAACAATGGCATCATTCCAGCGTGTAGCTGCCCCAGCATTTACTTCATGGCTCCTAATGATAGGCATCTGGGGGCTTCCACTGTGCTGTGTTGCCCACGGTGAACACAGGATCCAGCTCCTCCCTGCCCCACTGATACTCACTCAGGATGTGTTCCGAGAAGTAGAGTTGTTGGGTCAAAGAGTGGAGACACTTAACATTTTAACACACTGCTGATGTAGCCTGCTGAAAAGTTTTTACCAACTTACGCTGTTGCAGTAATAACAAAAATACCTACTACGTGCTTGCCAACTCCATTGCCAGTTTTTAAAACTGCCCGTTTAAGTAGCAAAAATAGATTATGTAACTGCTTTTTTATTTTTGATTTAGTGAAGTTTGGCAATTTTTCAATTTATTGGTATTATGTATTTTCTCTTTTGGGGTGCTGCCCATTCTTGTCTCACTATTTTGCTATGGTGTGTAGGGAGGTAATTAGGTTTAACTTACTTATTTATTTTTTAGAGGAGGTGTTGGGAATTGAACCCAGGACCTTGTGGATGCTAAGCAAGCACTCTACCACTTGAGTTATACCCTCCCCTCAACACCATTTTGCTATTGAACTGCCAGTCCTCAACAATTTTTACCTACCTTTCTATTTTAGGGAAATTAGACTTTGTCTTGAGCGGTAGATGTTTTCCTAGTTTGTCTTTACAAAATCATTTTTTCTTAATACTGCACAAAAATTTAATTTTAATACTGCTCAGATTTTATTTTTTAAGAAATCTAGATTTCACGTCATGGCAAAAAAAAAGCTTTCCTCAGTATTATAAATGATTTACTTGTGTTTCCTGAAGTGGCAATTCTTGGGCAGAAGGTTTTCTAAATTTTTGTAGGTCTTAAAATATCTTTTTTTCCCAACTTATTTGCTGTGAGTGATTACAGGTACCTCAGGGTGAGTGGGGTAGGGTGCGGGCCAGAGTCCAGACTGAGCAACAGAGGGTCCAGATGGGATCAAGTGTCAGAGAGAGAGACTGAAGTGAAGCAGGTACCCAAGTGACTGCAGGTGTGAGGGGCGCATGCAAGCCACAGTGTGGGGAGGGAGTTCTGAGAAAAAAAGGGAGCGAGAAGGGGAGCAAGGCTCCAGAAAGGCTGGGGATAAGGGGAAGTGGGGAGGTGGGGGAGCAGTGTGAGGTGTGCTCTGGCAAGGCCTGGGAAGGGGGAGGGAGTGAAATGGGGGAGGGAGGCCTCGTGCAGTGCCAGCATTCCAGTTACGTGATACCCACTTTCACCCCAAAACACAACAGTGATACAGAAAAGATACAACTAGAAAACAGGAAACATACCGCCTGACCCAAAAATGAGGTGAATATTTCTGTGGACGAGCAATGGAGCGAAAAGGCAAAGTGGTGAATAGGGCTGAAGCCAAAGCTTGCTGGGCTCCCTGAAGCTGAAGGCTGTGAGGTCCCAGGCACTGAGGGGCCTGGAAGGGCTGTACACAAGAACCAAAGGCAGGCTCGCAGCTTGGAGGGGCCGGCTGGATGGGAGCTTCATGCACGCTGGTTGGACAGGAGATTTTCATCAAGACACAGGCCCAGAGAGGCGGCGGGAGGACTTGGAGCAATCCCCACCCTCCCAACCTTGTCGACTGCCTGCCTGGTCTGTGATATCCCCTGATGGCTGAATCAGCACACCTGGTTCGAGAATAAGGCCCAAAGGGGTGGGGACCTGGATGGAGCCCATTGCTAAACCCAACTGTGGATTGTAGGGAGAGAAGAAATCAAATGCTAAGACTGCAGACAATAGAGGGAAGAGGGGAAGGGCAAGAGGGGTACACAATTAGGAGATACAAACTACTATATATAAAATAAATAAGAAACAAGGATATATTGTGCAGTACAGGGAAATACAGCCATTGTTTCCTAATAATGAAATGGAGTATCATCTATAAAAATATTGAATCTCTGTGTTGTACAACTTTACTTCAAAAAATGATATAAAGAAAATTCACCCCAAATAAAATTAATTGTATAGAATGTCCTTATAAAAGACTTGAAGAATGTTTGGATATTCAAAGAGGACGAGAACAGGGGGAAGGATATAGCTCAAGTGACAGAGTGCATGCTTAGCATGCATGAGGTTCTAGGGTCAATCCCCAATACCTGCTCTAAAAATAAATAAATCTAATTACCTTCCCCCACCAAAAAAATAATAATAAAAGAAAAAGAGAATAGAATACATTTCACTGAACAAGAGCAAGGAATTATGAAGCAAATTTAGACAAGAGCAGTGGTGTATTGAAACTCACAAGAGCTGGTTGTTAAATCACTTCATAGCTTGAAGTGCTAGGAGTACTTACACCACAGAAATCAGTAAACGCTACAAATCAGGCATTTCAGTTTGTTTTCAGAGAGACAGTTTACCAGCATCCTACTGGGTAGAAGTAACCAAGATCAGAAATTTTAGAAATGAGAAAGTTAGTTATTGAAATAAACTCAATAAATGAGAACACTAGATTCTAAATCTTAATTAAACTCTCATTTTAAGGACAAGAATAAAGAGAAAAAAAAAACCCACAACCCTAATGTCAGTAAATTCACACAATAAAACTTTCTTGCTCTAAACCAATGGGTCCTGATTGGTTGGCTCTTCTGGACATTACCCTCCTCCCCTAACTCCTTCTGTTTAAAAAATGTGGGTTTGTTTTTTTTTATAGACTTTATATTTTAGAACAGTTTTAAATTTATAGAAAGGCAAAATTATTTCATAGCAAAAGGAGGACTGAACTCTGATCCCTCTGAATGCAGATACCATATGTTCTTTCTCCTTCAAGCCTTCTCCCTAGAGAGAAGCCATGTTGCCAGAAAGAGCCTGCATTATTCTCAGGAACAGAAACAGTTGTTAGAGGAAAGGTGTTGTTTCTATATTCTCAGAGGAAAAAGCTGATCCTGATACCCACAGTTCAGCAAGTTTTGGGGGAGGGGGCATCTTCTTGCATTTTTGTACCTTAGTTTTCACCCAGGCATAGACTGCAGAGGCTGTTACTCTTCTGGAACGGTAGTGAGAAGGAGCATTGATTCCTAAAGCACATTCAGAAAGGAGTAATTTGATTTTTTTAAATGTAGGTTTAGGATTTTACCCTTCCCCTCACCTAGCAAGGGATGATGTTTTCTTACCTTGCTAAATACATCACAGGAGGCAGCTCCTTGCCTCCTGAATGGCAGCCCTCAGCTGTTCCTGTAACGGTAAAATACTTAATAGCATTCTGCTCTTCCCCTGGCATTCAGCCAGAGTGCCAGCCAAGTGAGTAGCCATCCACTCCTGGCCAGGCCATAAATTCCAGTGTTTCCTTCCAAAGAGCTCTCTGTGTTCAGACTGTATTACTGCTCATTTAAAGATGGTGCCTCTCCCAGAAGAATACAGATCCTTGCTAGACTGAGGCATGGCCATGGGACTCCTTTGGCAACAAGAAAATGGGAACTTCTTGACAGAAGTTTTACGAGCCAGCATGTGATTGACCAGATTCTCTTTTCCTGCCCTTGAAACCCAGATCCACCACAGATAATGCCATTGTCTGCCCAGGTCCCTGAGTGACTGTGACGTGCACAGCCCATGATGGAAATGTGGTTTGAGTGAGAAATAAACTTTGTTGTTTCAAGCCTCTGGGCGTTTGAAGGATGTCTGTTACTGTAACATAACCTAGCTTATCCTTACCACCATACCACTCCCCCCAACAACCCTACCCCCATCCCCACTTCACCCCCTCCTTTGGAACGGCTGTTGGAAAACCTGTCCAGCCACTCTAGTGCCAATCCAGATAGTAGATGTATCCATCCAGGTACACAAAATTCCCAAGCAGTTTCTTGTTCCACTATTTCAGAAGAGAGAACAATCTACAATTTCCAATTATTTAAAAAGCCTCCATCGTGACAGAGAGAGGTTAAATAAGCAACCACACAAAACCAACTCTGTGGAAACAGAGGAAAACCAAGGAAGGTGTCTGCAAAGTATGTGACTAAATATCACACTTACCTAGCTTTCCATGAGCTCAGTGAAGTCATAGGTAAGAAATGAAACTGACATGGACAAATGTTAGGAAAACACACACACACACAAAATGAAAAAGCTCCCACCTATTCAACTATTGATGTGCACTTAAGATGCTTCCATATCTTGGCAATTATAAATAATGTTGCTGTTAATAGCAGGGTGTATGTATCTTTTTGAGTTAATTCTTATTTTGTGGTTGGCTTTATTCCTCTGATAACTATGTAAGTTTAAAAAGCTAAATCTCTAAACGTTCTTACAATGAACAGTACATATATGTAAATTAAAAAATATATGTGCAGTAAAAAAAA